TGGCTACTGATGACATCAGAGACTGGCTGTCTATGCAAGACAGTTGTACTTTACATAAATCGGTTAAAAAGAATTTCCCCAGGAACAGAGTGTTTGTACCGAGAGCCATGTATCAGTGGCAGGCCTATTTATGTGACTTGCAAGGGCTGGCCACGTACAACGACGGGTTAACGTATCTCCTTACGGTGATTCATGTTTTTTCCAAAAAGGCCTATGCGCATGCATTAAGAAACAAGACTGGGGTGGTTGTAACGGAGGTCTTTGATTCTATTTTAACCGAGGGCAGCGTGCCCCTCAAGTTACAGACGGATGCCGGTAAGGAGTTTTTAAATGGGACTTTTCAGAAACTTTTAAAAAGTCATAAAATCACCCATTTCACCATTTAACCAAACAACTTTTTAACATTAAATAAATAAAATTAAACTTTTTCACCTCAAAACAATTATTTATCATCCAATTTGTTTCTTACCTCTTGGTTACCTTGTTAGGCTTCCTTATCCATGAAAAGATTGGTTTTAATATTTTTTTGGTGTGGCTTTCTGGACCTTTCTTTTGTATAAAAGAAATAATATACTCACTCTATGCATGTCCCATGTACTTTTCTCTTTCCAGTGGGGTAAGGCCTTGATGATACTTGGGGGGGGGGGGTACTTGTGTCTCTTTACCAAAGGAGCGAAACCCTGCTCGGCGTAATAAAAATATCTGCGGCTGGTTACTTCTTAGGATTCTTTAAGGAGAAATATACGGCCTGTCAAGTTTTATCTGATTTTCTTAAGTCTATTTCATGTATGTTTTTTCTTTTAACTCATATTTGTGCGCAGACGATGCGGGGATGTACATAACGGGCGAATCGGAAAAACCAAAACTTCAAACAAAATTTACTGTAAGACAAAATGTCCAATTTGATGTGTGGCCAAATTACAGTTTGACCATGATTTGACCTACGCTGATGTAATACAACGGCTGCATGAGGAAAAACACAAACTTGAAACAAGTTTGAAAAAAAAAACCCTACCACACAAGGCCAAATTGTTGCTGCTGCAGGGGGTGTCAGCTTTCACACACACCCCAAACTGCCGCTAAGCGTTTATTGGAGGAGGATAGCGTCAGACCCAGACCCACCTCCTCTCATTCTTAGCTCCAACTTTCTCATTCCCACAGGGTTTCTTTCAGTCTCGCGCAGCACAGCTCTCAGCTCACAGCTCTCCAGCATCGCTCCCTCCGAGTCCTTTGTGCTACGCCCAAGTACACGCTCCACCGGACCGACCGGGACCTTCCCAAGGTACCGCTCCACAGGCACCCCCTCCGAGTCCTTTGTGCTACGCCCAAGTACACGCTCCGCCGGACCGACTGGGACCTTCCCAAGGTACCGCTCCACAGGCACCCCCTCCGAGTCCTTTGTGCTACGCCCAAGTACACGCTCCGCCGGA